GTTAGAGAGTAACTATAGCAACACATCTGATTTCGGTGGTGGAGATTCCTTCTTCGGTGATGGTGACCCTCTAGCGATCATCGTACCCATCGTGTACAGTATTATAAGTGTTGTAGGAATAAGTGCCAATCTGTTTGTTATTGTTATTTTATTGAAGTACTCGAACATGCATTCCATTCCCAACATCTTCATTTTAAACTTGTCAATTGCAGACTTGTTGTTTTTATTCACGCTACCTTTTCTCGCACACCAACGTGCGACAAAAACATGGGTATTCGGCGCTGCTGTTTGCAAGTTCATCCACGGGTTTGATGGAATGAACCAGTTCACCGGGATTTTCATTCTAACGGCGATGAGCGTGGACCGATATCTAGCCATCACCAAGCCCATGCAGAGTCGCTCCTATCGGACGCCAGGAAAGTCGCAAGTCGTCAGCGTGCTTTCATGGATACTATCGTTTTTGGTTAGTCTAGTACTCTGGATGTATGCCACTGTTATTACAATGGACAATGGTAATCCGATTTGTATTGTGCTGTGGCCTAACGAGTTCCAAGGTGGGGAGATTTTTCTTATATACACTTTTTGTGTCGGATTCGTCATGCCAATGCTGCTTATTGTGACGGCCTACGCTCACGTCTGTAGATCGTTGATACAACGGAAAAAGTCGAAATTCCGCGAACATATGTCATCGCACTCCAAGGGAAACAAGCTGGTCGCCGTTATCGTAATTGTCATTGTTGCCGCGTTCGTCATCTGCTGGCTGCCTTTCTACGTGCTCAATTTTATTTCGTTTGCCTACCCGGATCTACGCGGAAATAGAACATTTGCCATTGTGTACTTCATAGGCATATGCCTCGGGTATTTTAACAGTTGTTTAAATCCGATAATATACTCATTTATGGGGAAAAATTTCCGCCAGTATGTTTCGAAACTCAGTAATCGAAAAGACAAACATTCGACAAGTCTACCACTGCGACGAAAGCTTCCGCCTTCGCCTGTTAGTAACAACAAATGAGATCGCATTGTTTCAGCATGTTTCACACGTATTTGGCAGTCGATAACGTTATATATTGTTTTTCAATGGTGATTCACTCTGTAAGTCAATTTTTGGTCAATGCTCGGTCAATCTACTTTGTGGCTTTGTCAGTATGTTATTGTTTACGTGTAATATTGACAATGCACGAATCTTATGGAAATAAAAGTGCGATATGGGAACAAGGATATGATATATACGCTGTATGTAGACATTGGAATAATAATCAAATCATTCTTGGTTAATGCAAATCGCGTATCACCTACTGACTGACTGACTTAATGACTGACTGACTGATTGATTGAATGAATGAATGAATGAATGAATGAAGGACTCAGACCAGTCTAACAATCGTGTTATTTTCACATTCCTGTACGATATATATTGTATAATATAAGGTTATTACGAAGATACCTCAAGTATGCACGAAGACAGTACAGCGGCAGTATCGACCGACGCGCAGCGGAGGTCGATGCGACAGCGTACTGTCTGAGTGCATACTTTGAGGTATCTTCGTAATAACCTTATTGTTATACATCTTTTCCTACCAAGGATACATCATGGGAATGCCGATATCTAAAAAGTTTATAACACAATCAGCGAACTTCTTTGTATGGAGTCCGGGCAATCCCTGGTGGCAGCCATGTTTGTTTTTATTATTATAGGACGCTTACGCGCGTATTCATTCCATATTTGGAATTTACATTTCCTTATATGTTAGGATGAAAATACCCTGTAAATTACCGCAAAATTACGGCACGCTGTAAGTTATGTCGTTACGGTGACAGATGTATAATAATATTAATTATTCATCACTGTATCGTCTTAGGTGACAGTATTCCGCAATGTTACTGTATTGCACGGCATATCTGCATGCTATCGTATTAGGAAGTGCCAACTCCAAATAAACATGTCTTTTTCGCGAGCATGTCTTTATAGCGAATTTAGCGAGAGAACTGATTCGCTAATTCAAGATGTCGCTAATGACTTTATTATAAATTGAAATGGACCAAGGCTTGGGGATTTGTATACAGTAATCCGGAACATAAAAATCACTTCCTAATTACACTTGACAATTTTTCTTTGTTTTTATGGAGGTGATAACTGCGCATTTGTTTTGGCACGCGACAGACTAGTATTGTGAAAACAGGAAATCAACAATGGCAAGTGAGATTCGCTAAATCAACATTTCGCTACTACGTCATTTTACCACAATTCGCTAAAATTGCATGTCGCTTTTTCAACATGTTTTACAGTATAGAACGAATATATGCGACACTTTCTCCAAGTACATAGCGAGAAAGTCCGACTAATCCCTACCACATTACTCAGTTCTTGGCTTCATACGAGCTATTGGCGCTATTTCCGGCGTAATCACACGATCGGATCGGGTAGATGTATATTAATGGGGTTATTACGAGAGTAACACAAAGTATATAGACTCAGGCAGTATGCAGACACATCGATCTCCGCTACGCGTCAGTCGATACTCCCATTGTACTGTCTTAGCGCACACTTTGCGGTATTCTCGTAATAACCTCATAATCACGGTGAAATGCATTGAGTTGCATACAAATAGGTTGGTGTTATGTTGCACTGTAAATTAGCAAAAGTTCTGAACTGGTAAACTTGGGAGATTAATTTCCCTCAGTAGTCACCAATCAATCAATGAGTAAAGACAACGAAACTCCATTTGGTGCAATAAAGAGAATACAAATGACTCCTACTCAAACTGACACGCTGAAATGAAATACGGTACGTTGTTTATACATAATTCCCAATGGGATAGTAGCGCCGGGTATCAGCGGTAAGCTATGCGTAAGTTACATTATAAATAATACCCGTGCATTCAACTTCTCGATAAAGTATGTGAGTTAGTATTTGTTTAATGCAGTGTTTGATGTTATCGCGACACATATGGTTATTTATCCGCGTAGTGTCCATTGAAACGAAATGTTGATTTAACGGTTAGCGAGTGAGTATTTTCGGTGCAATATGACGCACTCACGTCAGCGTTGATGGCATAGTAAACGATTATCCGGAAATTACCCTATTCTGCTTTTGGGGGGGGTCTTTTTGTATAAACTAAATAAGACAATTCTGAAACATACATATTTAGCGTACGTTGTCAAACTGGATCGAAGATCTGGATCTGAATAAGAGTTTCAGCTTGCAGCATGGTACATTTGATAAAAAAAAATGATTTAAATCTTTAGTTCATAGTTCAGTTCATTCTATATATAGCACATGTCTGAGTAATGTGGCGAGTAATGTCTACTGATGATAACTATCCGAAAACGTCCGCCATGATTGGAGGTGAATACTAACTGAACGGATTCACTAAATACTGATTGAATACTGACTGAACGGATTCACTAAAAGATGCCGAAAATAAATTTCTTACAAGAAAATAATATGCTGGTTGTGATTATATCCTAATAACACGGAGCTGGGGCATGTCTTCAGAATTCACGGTGTAATGCAATAAGCAGTTGATATAGTAACCCAATTGCTTAGTCGGCATATAGCATATGGTACTTCAATTGTCAGCATCAGACTGAACCACATGGTCAATCACATTCAATGACTGACGCTTTAATTTAGATCCAGTTCCAATGGATATACATATCGTTTTCACTTCAAGGACGCTAGGAAGTCGCTGACGTGTTTCAAACATACATTTGCACCATGCCGCATTTCTTACAATGGTTTAATTCAGTATATGTTGCAAAGAATTCGTATCGTATGATGACTTTGACGTTCAAGTTTAACATAATATTATATTATATTATATTATATTATATTATATTATATTATATTATATTATATTATATTATATTATATT